GTGACTGTGATTTGCAGTTCACAGTGATGGGCCATTGTCATCACATTCCTCTGAATGGTGCAACTTCAGCGTGTTGTAATCATGAGCATTAACAGTCATTTTTGACTGTTTATTATTTGAAAGATACATAATTCACAAGGATTTGGCTAACCTTAGGAACACATTAATTCATAATATTTTACAGCAGTGTAGTCAGTCATATATTCTAAACACCAGAGAAAGTTACCTAGAATGCCATAGACCTAGAACAATTAACCAAAAGAAGAAACTTGTTAGGAAAAATAGATTGGAGGAAGGGCTGCCTTTAACTGAGGGGAGAAAGTCAAAGCTATAAACAAATGAATTTTTAGCTTTAAGATACAAGACTGAATGTTTACTCACACACGATCATTTTAATGAGGGATTATACTAATAACAGTATTGCCAAGATTTTTATTTCTGGTTCAAGCAAGAATGTCACTAAAAAAACTTCTTTACCTCCCTTTTTTGTCCTTCTAGGAGTCCTGATCTAGTAGTGTGCTCTTTTTAAAGCTCTTCTCCCTTGCCCTATTCACTGAAGTAAACTATGCTAAGATGAAAAAGCACAACATTTCTGCTTTTTAATTTTACTTGGATGGCCTACAATTGAACACAATCACTTGTTCCTTTGACTTCTTCTTAACTCAAATATTCCAACCACTTATGTTGGAAAAACCCACCAAAACTTTAAACAAATCACCAAAACTAAACAATAGGCCCACAAAATACCTAAGAACTGGGAATATGAAAGTCAATTTGTTCTCTATTATCTTTAAAGTGTATTATGCTGGATGAGTTAGAGAGGTCAGACATATACTCTTTATTCATTCTTCTGTCTCATAGTTGGGAATGTGATTTCAAGTATGTATGAATATGAAAAAGTTCACCTGCCATTTGGAGTTCATTATAGTAGAATCCATAATAAAACAAAGATGGGAGTGGCCTGCCCAAGTCTGTCCTGGTTTTACCATTTTACCACTGAAAAGCTCACATCTTGAGAAACTCCCTCCCTGTGAGGCAAATAAATCGTGGCACCTGTGATTTGCAGTTCACAGTGATGGGCCATCATCATCACATTCCTCTGAATGGTGCAACTTCAGTGTGTTGTAATCATGAGCATTAACAGTCATCTTTGACTCTGCCTTTTGGAAGTTCAGATAATGAGACCAGTTATGATACCAACAGCAGAATGCTCCACACATCACCAATGAAGAAGATACAATATTATACATACTAATGTAATGTGTCACTATAAATGGATGGAAAGGCATGTGAGTTAGGGAGTTAGGTAACCGAAACAACATTCTGCACAACATGCAGAAAAGAATTGGGGATTGGGCATTGTTACAGAATAAATTATGTCCTTTCCTCTCTTCCCCATTCATATGTTGAAGTCCTAAGCCCTAGTGCCTCAGAAAGTGACTTTATTTGGAAACAGGGTCATTACAGATGTAATTACTTCAGTGAAAATGAGGTCATACTTGAGTAGGATGGCTTTTTAAGCCAGTATAACTGGTACCCTTATAAAAAGGGGAAATTTGGACATAGACAGGCACACAGGGAAAACACTGTGTGAAGATCAGAGTTGGACTGCCAGAAGCCAAAGACTTGCAGGAAGTTAGGAGAAAGGTGCAGACCAGCTCCTACCCTAGAAACTTCAGACAGAGAATGGGCCTGTGCACACCTTAATCTTACACTTCTAGCCTCCAGAACTTCAAGACAGTAAATTTCTGTTGTTTAAGCCTCCCAGTGTGTGGTACTTGGTATGGTAGTCCTAGCAAACTCATTACTGGCCTGGTAGAGAAAGGGATGTAAAAGCCTCTAGAGAGACCGAATCTCACAAGTCTGCAATGAGAAGGCAAGTACATATAAATCAATTTGTACTTTTTTTATCTTCCAGAAACATACTAATGCTCAGTTGAAAATTGCAGGCATTGATGTAGTTTGGACATACCACATCGTATTGTTACTTTGGATTGCTCTGATTGATTCCTCGATTACATTTTTATTGGTTGCCTTGATGACATTTCCTGATTCAGAGGTTTCATCTAAAATATCCTATAGGTGAAAAAAGGGGGACATTTTGATAACAGATATGTTGGTTTCTTTAAGTGTAGAGCTGATTCTGTCGGATCCTGCTGTGATCATACTTTCTACGGTATATTGAGTGATGCATCAAATCACAGCAACAAAAGATGTTCCCCTAGCTCGTAGGCACTTGGATTTGAAAAATGAAGTTTCAAAGTAAAATTTTTATTTCTATGAGGATTATAAAGAAACCCCATAAAACAATGATTGTTGATATGCTGTTCAGATACAGATGAGTTTTTTCTCATCTATTGCATACTTGGCAGACAGTGCAAATGTCCTTTGGAAAATTCCATTCAGACTCTATAAACTTCTTAGCAAAGAAAACGAAAAGCTATTACCTACTAAATGTCTTCCACACCTTGTATACAACTCTGCTAAAAAGGAGTGTAATTTGCTGGCCAGTGATATTCAGGCTTTCATAGTAAAAGTTCTTTCTCACTTTTAGTTTCCTCAGAACCTGCCAAAGCACTTAATAATAGATTTTTTATTTTATGGAATGGAAGGAGACAGTAAGTGTAGACATGTCCCTACAAGATAATTATGATTGTTGCCAGCAAATGTTAGCCTGCTGTCAAATCATATGTGCAAAATGTGATGCAAGGAGAATATTTAATTTGGAAATACATTGAGGATGGGAATACAGAAAACTATTAAGGTAAAACTGATATTTATGTACTATTTTTCTAAAACTGATGATTGTTGAGGAGGCCATAAGGAGCTAGAAAAGGCTAAACTATCTGTACCAGAGTTGTTTAATGTTCTGTGCAGGCTGTGACAAATACTCTTAGAAAAATGGCTCATTTTTTGGAAAGCAGGCTGCTTCAGATCTCAGAAATGTTACAGGAAAAGAGTAGCCACATTAAATAGGACTGTCTTTACTAAAACTGTAACTTTTTGGAATCCATCCAATATGCTTTGGTGTGTTTAAAAATGACAGATATTTTTAAATGGATAGCTTGTATGATGAATTTATGCATGCAAAGGACTTTACAAACAGCTGGTCTGCCAAAACAAGCCTGTAGACACAAGTGGCTTCATTTTTTTAGAGAACTGGATGCCAAATTATTATAACTCTAAAAGCCTGCTATTGCTAATAAGTAAAATCTTCAGTATTTTATGATCAAACACTGTTGTTAAGAAAATATTTAGCTTAAGGTCATCATATTGGACTAATACCAGTAGTGTGGGTTTCTAAGAGCAGAGCTACAACTCAAAGTGAATATTACATTTGACTCTGGTTGTTTTACCCCTGGTAAAAAAAAAGATATCATAAAGGCTACAGGCAGTTCAGAATATTATTGGAAAAGGAAACAAGGAATGAAAATACCCTACTGTACCATGGATAGAAAGATATTACTTTTTGTTAAATGTAGGTAATGGTTTAATTAATATTGTATTTACATTTTCCTGTTAAAAAGTCTTACATTTATGGTTCTTAAAAACATGTAGTAATATAGCCTACTATATTTAAATACCTGACAGTTAAAGTACAGAAAGAAAACATAAAAGTACTACATTTTTCACACATTTTATTTAATTAGTCTACTTAATTACTACTAATTCCACCATTAATGAGTTATATTGTTTTATTTAAATATTTTAACAGAAAAGTAATATATAATTACTTTTATATAATTACTTTAATAACAAAATAATATATAATTTCAAATATATGTCCAGTCTTTATATTTCTATGTAAAGTAGTAACACATGCATAATTATTCTCATATAATGTTATGTGTTGTGGGACTGTGTGTTTTGGGGTTTGGCTGTATCTAAAAAGATGAGCACCCGCCTGTGCACAGTGCCTCTCTTGCCCACTGTCTATTTCTGTGGCCATCCTCCTTCCCTTCTTCCTCATCACACATTCCAGTCTCACTAAGGACAGTGAGTTTGAGGTTACAAGAAGTTTTACATTAGTTTTGGAAAAGCTAATTCTTATAATCCAGGTCTGAACTTTTAATCCCTAAACTAATTTACATGGAGACGTACTGAAAATCTTCAAATAAATTCATTCATGTTTTAAAAAATTGCTTTCTATTGTTCCATTTGGAAGGCAAGCATGATATAACTGGTAGAAAAAGAGTTTCTGAAGTTCCCATATGTATCTAACGTTTGGGAAGCAGATAGGACTACTGCCTTTGGTGTGTAATCATAATTCTAATTTAATTGAAAATGCTGGAATGACTCCATTTACATAGTAACAATTCTTACATTTATAAATTTTTGGAATGTCTACTATGGTTCTTTTTCTAATGCTAATTCTGCTATACTTTTTCTATTATTAAATTGGTAGAATGCATTAGGCATTATATTTATGAATTCAGAAAAGTCCCAAAAGTGTGTTTTTTAGCTGTAGGATCTTCTGACTGACAAATCTATTTTTCAGGTCAAATATGATAAATAAGATTTAACATGTGTAGTTATATTCGGCAAATATGCATCTGCTGGCAGGCTTATTGTAATTTAGGATAAGTAGACTTCTGAGATTTTTAAGGTGCATCTATCTGGACATAAAAATAAGTTCCCATTAGGTATTTAATTGCTATAAAATTTCCTTTATTGCTGAAATTCATACCCTTTGATCATTATTTCTACAGTAATTTGAGAATGCTCTCAGTAGTGGCTGCTTGCAGAATTCATTGGTTCAATGTGAAACAATTGCTTGAAATATTTTTTTTAGTGAACATTATATACAGAAGTGTGCAATATACTTTTTAAAATATTGTAGAATTTGAAGGGCAATTCTAAATTCTCATGAAGAAAATCAGTTTAGCAAACTATCTGTTTTCATTATATTCTGAGAAACTATTGAATGTTTCTTTAATATTTAGAAATTTTGACATAAATGTTATCCCTGACACTTTGTGTTTATGTTTTATCATCTACAGAAGGACGGAGTGCTAGGATACATTGGGAATTTTCGCCTGCTTTCAGAACTTTCCAGCCCTTTTGTGAATCAACGGTAGGTTATTGATACCATTAATTATTTTAAACTTGTGCAGCTATTTCTTTAATTTGAGGATTTTTTTTCTATGATCCTAAAGCTACTATGTAAAAATGAGAATATGTGCTATGAATTATAATCACCATTGTACAGATGAGTAAGCCGAGCCTTGGAAAGTTTGGAGAAACTTATTCAGGGTTCCTTAGCTAGGAAGTGGTCTTGGCTTTTGAACCCAGCTCTCTTTGCAGTATGACAAGGCTTTATTATATTGGGTTCATTCTGGATCCAGTTCATTTTCCCGACACCAAGTTCTTCTGTTTCCAAGTTCTGATATCCACATTATCTTCATCTCCCATTAAAAAAAAATAGTCTTTTTATTATAGAATTATGAAAAAGTTGAACATATAGAAACTCTCACATACCCTTCATGTAGTTGCCCCTACTATTACCATGGAACATTTGTCAAAACTGAAAAACGAGCACTGATACATTATTACTAAGTAAACTCCAGACTTTTTTGGATTTCATCAGCTTTTCTTTTAGTGTTCTCCTTTCATTCTAAGATTCAGTGCAGGGTGCCACATTGCATTTAGTTGATGTGTCTCCCTAGTCTCCTCTGCTCTGTAACAGTTTCTTAGTCTTTCCTTGTTTTTCATGACCTTGACAATGATAAGAGTAGTGTCCAGTTTCTTTGCAAAATGTCCTCAAGTGTGGGCTTGTCTTTTTTTCATGACTAGAAAGAGGTTATGGGTTTTTGGAAGGAATCCTACAGAGATGAGGTGGTCTTCTTATCACATCGTATCAGGAGGTACCTGATTGTCCACATGACATCCCTGGGGTTGTGAACTTCAGTGTGTGGTTTAGATGGTGTTTGGCAGGTTTCTTCACTGTGAAGTTTTTCTTTTTCTTACTCTGTTCTTTGAAAGCAAGGTGTGAGGGATAGCCCACTCTTAACCCGTGAGGGAACAAGGAAATTAGGCACCACTTCCTGAGGGGGGTAGTTGCCCTTTTTTGACAATAGATATATTGTTATCATTTTCATTGTTATTGTTATTGAACGCATATATTCAATATGCTCAAAGATAGTAAACACTGGAAGGGCATAGTTTATATTTGCTTTCTCTGCTTCTCATATTTTTTTGCTCTTAAATCCATTAAAATTTGGCTTCCTCCTCTGTCATTTTGCTGGAACTCTTTGATTAGAGACACCAACGACTTCCAGTTCCAACTATCTAGTGAACTCTCTTTGCCTCTTTACTGTCTCTCTCTGGGGATGTGATGCTGTTGGTCACCGCCTTCTTCTGCTGCCTGACCTCTTTGTTTTCGCGACACCTCACTTACCTGGTTTTCATATTTCTCTGACCATCTTTTCTCAGTCTTAGTAAGAGACAGTTCCTTATATGCTGGTGTTCCCCAAGGTCTTCTAGGCCCATCGAGCTTCTCTGTCCTTCTCCCTGGGTGAGGGCTGCTTTCAAGGGTTCAGCTATTACCTATTTACTCATTTTAGCTTAACGGATTATAATGGACTGTAATGTGACAAGCTGTTCAGCCTTGTCATTTACTACTGGCTCTGACCTTGGGTAAGTTGTTTAACGTCTGTGTACTACAGTTGCCTTCTCTGTGAAAGAAAAAAGTACATCTTATATCACCTATTTGTAATACAGTCAAGTGTTTTGTTCTCCCAGATGGTGCATCAAATTCAACATGTTTAAAATGGGATGCAACATATTTCCCTCCATATTCTCTTAGAGTCTCTTGTTCAGTGTGTGGGCTGGTCGTTCTCGGACTTACCCCTGCTTGACATGTGGGAATCATCTTTGACTTTCTCCCTCATGTATATTTGGTCCACCACCAGGTCCTATTATATCACATCCTAAATATTTCTGGCCTTGGCCACTTCCTCTCCACCTCTCCTGTCCATGCTCCAGTTCATTGTCTCTGGCCTCAGCTTGTACCAGCCTCAGTAGCCATAAGCTACACGTGACTATTTACACTGAATTTAATTAAAATTAAATTAAAATAAATTTAATTCCTCAATTGAACTTGTAACAGTCCTGTGGGAACCTGTTCATGATTACAGAAAGTTCTTTTGGACAGTGCTGTTCTAGATCAGTGATCAGCAAGCTAAGCCTGAGGACCAAACCTGCTCCTGTTTTTGTAAGTAGACCTTGTTGGAGTGCAGCCACACCCACTCGTCTACCATGACTTCTTTTGCACTTGTGATAAACACTTCATAACATCCAAAGCCTATCATCACCTTATGTCTGCTCTCTGGCACTTTATACGAGAAGTTTGCAGGTCCCTGCTCTCAACTTGTCTGCCTGCTGCCAGTCCTGTTTCTCTTTAATCTCTCTTTGATATTATTGTCTTCCATGGTGATTGGTTTAAAACACAAAAATGAATATGTGGCTCCCCTGGTTGAATCCCGTCAATGGCTTCTGCTGCTCAAAGGATAAAAATAAGCTTTTTAGTGTGACACAGAAAGCTGTCCAAGTAGAGAGAGCTGTCTTATCTCTTTCTGCCACATTTTCTTTCAGAAATCTCCTTTATTCCAACTTGTCCACCTGCTGGAAAGGCCTGCTGGCTTCTTACTCATCCTTAAAGACTCAGATTTATTTCCATCACTAACCCCATCTCCTTCCGTATAGTGGTGTCCCTTGCCTATACTTCCATAATAGCGACTTGAAGTCATACCATTGATGATTAATAATTTTTGTTGTAAAGTTTGTCTCTTTTTTTCTGTTTCTTATTCATCGCTGCATGTCATGAGGTCAAGGGCCAAATTTTGTTAAACTTTGCATGGTCCAGCGTACATTGTCTGGCACATCATAGCCATTTAATTGTTTTTTAAATGAATGACTCCTAGGAGGTGATCAGTTAAGCATTAGCAATGTCTGCCTCTTGCATGTGATTCAGATTATACAATTTTGAAGCAGGAGAAAATTAACTTTGACATTTAAAAGAACTTCAATTTGTTTTTGTTTGAAACTCTTTTTGGGAAACTGTAAAATTAGAGACAGTTTAACTCTTTAATATTATAGTAAAAGTTACACCATACTGTTTTCCAAAAGCTTTAAATCATTTGTAGATTAAGAAAATGGGGAGTGTTCATTCTAATTGTTCATTAGAATATGAACAAGAAGTAGCATAATGTAGCAGCAGAGAGATCATGACAGAGTTATGTAGCCCTGCTACATAACACTGTTAGAGTTTTGTGGTATTTTTATGTTCTTTCTGTTTTATAGCTTTGTATAATTTTAAGAGGCACATAGAATGCATGTGGTGGGGTATAAAGTAAAAGAAGACAGAAATAAAGGTTAGACACCTGGGCTTCAATTAAATTTCTGCTGTTAAGTTCTACTCATGTATCAGGTTTCTTTTCATAAAAAGTAACTTAATGATGGTAACTGATTTCTTTCTTAAATGCCCTTAACTGTTATGAGGACATATTTATGACTTGGTCTTAAAATTAAATTATTTACAAAACTTTGCACCTGTGTTCCTTAGTATGTTCAGTCAGTATTTATTGAATACCTTCTCAGTACCTACATGCCCAAGGCCCTGTTTTAAGGGAGATTCAAGTATTGTGTCTGGCGTCATGTCTATGTTTGAGAAAATGGGACTTAAAAATATAAAAGAATGAGCTAGCAAAATGAGACATTGTGTCAAAAAGGTCAAGAAAGACACCGTATTTATAGTATAAAACAGCTGTTCCCAACCTTGTTGATCTAAAAAATGATTAAGGATCTGAATGAACTTTTACTTCCTGTGGGAATATCTGTTGATATTTACCAGATTGGAAATTAAAACTGAGACATTTAAAATATTTATTAATTAATTTAATATAAACAATATTTCCTGTTAACATAATTTTTTGTGTGAAAAATAGCTACAGTGCCAAAGTAAAAAAAAATTAGTGGGAATTATTGTACATTTTTGCATATCTCTTCATTGCCTAGCATGATAGTATTCAGCTGAATTCTCAAGTCCACTTTTGTTTTCAGTCTATGAAATGTAGTTTTGGTTGAAGCATATGAAAAAAACCCTGCCTGTCAGAGTTAATGTAGTAGGAAAATGGAGGGATAATTTTAGTAGCCTTTTCAAATAATTATGCATATTCCTCTTTAGTACTACACTATAATATACCAATAAGTATTTTCTTAAAGGTTAGTTAAATGTGGAATCTGAAACTATGTCAGTGAACTTTTTGTAGACTCTTAACATTCAAATCCCTTGGTCTCTCTCGTGCTTTGAATATTTTACCCATGCAGAAGTTTGTATCATCATGCCTTGGTCATTTGGAAATATTGGTTGTCTGAGTTATGTAGGTCTTCCAAACATTGGTGCATTATTAGATACTATTAAAAAACTCACATTGGTTAATATCACCGCTGATCTCTTTAGAAAAGTTCTTAAATATTGGCAGGCTAGTCAACTCTCAGTGACAGATAGAAATTTTCCAAAATATTGATTCCCATTTAGAAGTTCAAATTTTTTTACTGCCAACAACCACTGTGGAGTTTCTTTCCTTTGATGTGACCAACTTACTTTGTTCATTTCTGAGAAAGTACATACCAAATACCCAAGTCTGAATAACTGTAGTTTGTCAGTCGGTCTTTCAAGTAAAAATGGTGTTCTGTGGAAAAAGCAGATAGTTTAGCTCACAGTTCAGATTGTCATCCAAGGGTTTCTCCTCCCGACAATCTTTGCACCTCGTGGAAATGCTTTATGTGCGCGTCCCATTTTATCACAGAATATTATGGGAGAGGGTGGGGGTGACGGGATGGGCATTGAAAGGTACCAACTTCCACCTACAAAATGAATAAGACACGGGAATACAGTATACAACATAGGAATTATAACTAATAATATGTAACAACTTTGTATGGTAAAATATGGCAGCTAGATTTATTATAGAGACTGCTTCATAATGTATATAAATGTTGAACTATGTTACACCTTAAGTTAATATAATGTATGTCAACTACATGTCAATTTTAAAAAAGGACATGTACTCA